AATCATTACAATTCTTTAAAAACTTTCAAAATAGGCTCCTTCTGCGTCGATGCAGCGCTGCCAGCGCTATTTCCAAGCATTGAACGCGTCACGGAAGGCATTCTCCGGAATAGCCTTAAGAGCCGCGGTGCATGCTGCTTGGATCCCCTCTGTCGTCTCAAAATGCTTGCCTTTCATCGGCCTTTTCAGGCGAGCAAATAAAAAAAAGTCCGGGGGGCCACATCTGGGCTGTAGGGCGGCTGCGGAAGCGTTGGGATGCCGGCCTTGGTCAGGTAGCTGTCCACAAGAAAGGCGGTGTGAGCCAGGGCGTTGTCGTGTTGCAACTTCCAGTCGACTGCGATGTCTTGTCGGACCCGATTGACCCTTCGTTTGACTCTCTTGAGCACTTCCACGTAAAACTTAGCGTTGACGGTTTGTCCAGGAAGAACAAATTCATGGTGGACGATGCCTTTCATGTCAAAAAAGACAATGAGCATCGTTTTCACTTTGGATTTGCTCATACTTCCCTTTTTTGGGCGAGGAGACGCTAGCGTGTGCCATTCGGAAGATTGCCTCTTTGTCTCGGGATCATACTCAAAGATCCATGACTCGTCACCTGTGATTACGTTATTCAAAAATTGGGGGTCACTTTCACACATGTTTAAATTTTCTTGGCACACTTCCACTCGCCGCAATTTCTGGTCGTCAGTGAGCACTTTTGGGACCATCTTCGCGCACACCTTGCGCATGTTCAAATGCTCCGTCACAATGTCATGAACCACAGATTTTGGTAAATTTAATATCTGGGCAATTAAACGAATACTTAGTCGACGGTCCGAGTTCAAAACTTCGCGCACACGAGTCACATTGTCGGTGTTTGTCGAAGTCGAAGGTCTTCCAGCACGGTCTTCATCGGCGACCTCTTCCCGGCCCTCTGAAAAGGCCTGGTGCCACCGAAATGCACCACTTCTTGCTAAAGCAACATCTGGGTAAGCCTGCTTGATCATATCAAACGTCTCTGTCGCAGATTTACCAAGTTTCACACAGAATTTAATCGCGTACCTGTTCTGACTCTCCAGGTGCTCGGAGACAACTCACCAGCCGCTCGTTCGTTAGCTAGGAATGCCCTCTACCGAATCCAGTCGGTGCGCGCACGCTCCGAAGTACAGTCGCGGCGGAAGGAAATCAGTCCTATTACTTTCCGGACAAACCCTGTATGTATATGTATATCATAAAAATTCCTATGTTATTTTAATAAGGCATTCAGCGTCTCTCTCTACAAAATTATTTTCTTTTCACATCAAATATTTAAAACCTTATAAATTCCATCTCAATGATAAACCTTCAATATCTAAGACGCTGTCGTTTAACAATCACCAATCTTTTGACGTTTTACAATGAATTTCCACCAAGTGGAAGTAGATTCAATTATCCAATTATATCTTAATTTAAAAAAAATATGAAAAGACATGCGCCCGTCAATGATAATTATCACGAAAATTGGGTATATTGTAGCTATCGCGCCTTTATCGGAAAAGCGCCGAGATGCGGAGAAAAATTGATGAAACTCCATTACAATCAATAAAATTTATTTTTTTCTCCTCGTATCGCATCTTCGCTTCGATTTTGTTCGATTCCGCGTTGTGCGCGTTGGCCTTTACACTAATTCGTCGTGTTGAGCACGTTTAAAGGCCTATGCATACTATGAAGAAGAGAAGCGAATAGATGCGCGGACAAAAAACTTCATTGATATTAATGGAGTCGAGGGTGCGGTTATATATGTACATATTGGAGACAGTTAAAATTCAACAAAGTAGCCTAACAATTTTCCATTCTGTAAACACAAATAAAAAAAGAATACAAAAACCAACGTAAAGAGAAATAACATTTTTGCATAGCCCTCTGGTAAAACATCGATTTGCTGAAGTTTTTAAGCAAGGGTCTCGCGCCCCTAGTGTATAAATAATTCAAGAAAAAAAAAAAAAGAATCCCGTCACTACAGTGAGTGGCTGATTCCAACTTCAAACGCTCAACAAACAGTCTAATAGAAAAGGCAAAAAAGATCGTGAAAGCAACACAAACCGCTTAGATTTACAAATCCGAGTAGAAGTCTACAAAATAGTCAAGTAAAACAATACAAAACTGCAGATATCTTTCAAAATCGATAACAATTCTTCGATGCGTTTAATGCGGAGCAAATAGAGAAATCGTTTCCGGCAATCTCATTTATCGAGATATCTCGTTCTTATTCCACCAGCAAGCAATCAACTGCGTATATAGAACAAATCAGTTTCCTTTCGAGTTATTCGCTTAATGAATTTACATGATTGGTGTTAGTGGATAAATCGCAAATCTGCTCTTATACGATCATCCGTTTGGGGCGCTCGAGTTCGACTTCGTCGGTTAATTAAACAATTTGCTTAACATCGATTTCTCGTTTCCAAGCTGCATTCATACTGCAACCACCGTATCATCTGCAGTAAAATCTTTTTCGAATGCGCAATAATACGAGAGCAAGTTGTCGAAAAATATGCTTCTAACTTTTATCTCATGTTACTTCGTCATGTATGTACATTGAATTTAACAAAAACCGCTTAGAACAACTTCACTTATACATAGCGTCGGTCCGCATGTAACAACAAAATCATTACCTCTAAAAAAGCTCAAGTTTTAATACTTTATAAGTTTCAAATTCGTCAAAGTGGTCAAAATTTCCAAGACTGCCAAAAAGTCCTGGCAATTTTAGTTATATTGGAAACGTCGGCCATGAAATCCTGCTTATAACGAAGTCTAAGTGTAGATTTATCTTTAGAAGTTACCTTTTATTTTAACATTAATCGGTTGTAAAATAATTGCAGAATTGCTTATAACGTCTGAAGATACACCCTAACCTAATCTAACCAACCTCTGCAAAAAGTCAAATTTTAATACGTCATAAATTTCAAATCCGTCACCGTGGTCAAAATTTCAACGTCTGCAAAAAATTTCCGACAATTTTAGTTATATTGCAAACGCCGGCTATGAAACCTTACATTTGCTTATAACGAAGTGTAGATTTATCGTTAAAAGCTTTCATTTCTTCATTAATCGGTTTTAAAATAATTACAAAATTGCTTGTAACGTTAGATTGTTATAGCGATTGTTTTATTGTTGTTATAACCGGATTTTACTGAAACTGAGGCTCCCGTGTTTTCCTGTTAATATTATCATTATTATTACAGTTTAACAATACCTTACATTTATCACGCCTCGTCCTTTTATTTGAATAAGGATTTAGCAGTTTTTTTAGGGTAACAATTCAATTATAAGTTATTTGCTTTGTAACCTAAACGTTGCGATTGCATTTTCGCTTATAAGCGATCGGTTATAAATCACGCCATTTTTAGTCATCGTGGTGAGCGAAGATATTTATAACTTTATTAAGTTTCATTCTGTAGCGATCTTTGTTACAGGACAAAATATTCGGAACTTCGAGGCAGATTAACGGATGATATCACTTTATTTGGTTTATGAAGTCTGTCTCTGAGGAAATTCCTTCGTATAATAAATGGCACAATAACACAAGGCGTTTTCAGAGAAATCGCGACGCTACGCGTTCCCATCAAATAAAAGAATGTTCGGGATTAACCTTAAGTGCAAAAAGACACATAAGCCTTTTATCAGGCAGTGAAAGTAAACAATATGATAAAATGTTATCTTCAGCATTTTCTTTTCTCTTCTGTTTTTCTGGAAAAACCGACGAAGACGCCGCAAAATAACGACAACGGCTAGTATGTGTGTGTAGGCAGCGTAGGACTAAGGTCACCCACCCTGATGTGACCGTTTGCTACACCATTTTATCGAATTTTGGCGTTTTAGATGCAACTGTGTAAAATGCAGGCGAATTAAGGGCGGTTATACACGGAGCCGATCCGACTGACGCCGGAACGACGCCAGTTGGCACTAAAAATCGGGTACATATAACTATTGTGGTAATATTTACTGTCCCCACACGATCCAGTACCAGTGTATGCCGTACATGTGATCGATTTACTATGGGTACAAGAAAAATAAGGGTCGAGTCGGATCGGATCGGATACTCTAGAAATGAGAAATTCTCGTGCACGTGTAAACACACCTTTCTCCGGATTGTAGGTACTGTTGTACGAGGTCCGCTAAAAAAGTATAGCGGTATATGAATATCTCTTACTTATACCGACGAAGTTCGGCCATGTTGAATATTCAGTTAATTTTTGACAGCTGCTTTGCTTGCACGTGTTTTGGCTGGTCTTCGATTGAATAGATCAAAGAATCTGTATCAAATTTTGTATGTGAGGGCCTAAACATATCGATTGGCTCCTGGCAGATAGCCGGTCTCAGACAGTTTTAACGATAAAGATCTATTAACAACCGCAACAACTTAAGTAAATAAAAAGCATTGAAAATCCTTTTGTCTTTATTTGTTGGTTTGCAGTTTTTTGTTCCTTTATGACTTTTAATACCTAATTCTGCAATAGTCGCTATTTCCCGTTGAAATAAAATCAAATTTACGACATAAACAGTACACATGTAGCTGTACCGGAAATTCGAGCCATAATTAAATTACGGCTCGTCGTTGTCGGAATTCAATTGCACCCGGTGAACGGCCTTATTTCGTTCTGTGTTCGTATAAAATGACAAAGGATGCTTTTTTCTTCCTTTCTTTGCGAAAGAACACGCGCTCGATTAAAAGCGAAATGTGAAATTGCTGAACTGAAAAAGAATTGACAGCGGACATTCGTCAGATAGTGAATTTTGTATTGAAGAGATTCGTTCGCCAAAAAATTGTGAATTGTCATATAAATGTATCCTCGATTGATATATCGAAATCACCGTGGAGTAAAGAAATGGAAATGTCGCATTTATTACGGTCGAATGAGAAAACGAAACAGCGTTTCGTAAGTATTTTTGAGAAACGGACGGTCGCAATATTAGGAATATTGACAGGCGAAGAAAATGTCGAAAAAAAAAGCAATATCTCATATTTTAATAAATACACTTACCCTGCATCTTGTGCTTCGTGTGCTCTAATTATGGATAATAGGTTATTGTTCTGAAGAAAATCACAACAAGCGGCGTAACTGTAACAAAGAAAACAAAAGGTAAATCCTTAAATGTTCACACATTCATTGACTGATTTAAACGCAAAGGGTTAAGTTGATCTGTGCATTTTTGAGACGTATATATTTGAGAAATATTTATAATATTTGTAAGTTCCAAGTTAACGCTTAATTTAGAAATTCGAAAAAGGTTGTCAAAAGAGTACGTTTGGAGTACGGCACTGAACGGGTGCGAAATATGGACAGTCAACGCAGCGGAAAAGAAAAGGTTAGAAGCGTTCGAAATGGGGTGTTACTGGCGAATTATGAGGATACCGTGTATAGAGAAAGGTTAGAAATGAAGAGGTATTAAAAAGAATAAGAGAACACAGGACTCTATGGAAGTCAATAAGAAATAGACGAGATAGGTTGGTAGGACACCTTCTCAGGCGTGAAGGTGTAGTCAGAGACATATTAGAGGCAGAAACAGGAGTTAGGAGGGGTAGAGGTAGACCTAGATTAGATTACTGTTCGCAAATAGTTAAGTATGTGGGATGTTTAAGTTTTAGGGAAATGCGAAGATTAGCTCAGGATAGGAAAGAGTGGAGGTGCATGACCAACCAGTCTTAGGACTGACGACCTTATGATGATGAAGTTTCAAGTCAATACCGCATAGAGTCTCTTATTAGGGTAAAATACGTGTTTTATTCTTTGTTTTAAATACTTGGTTCCCACTTGGTCACTAACTTGTGGTAGCCACTGAAGCCACTTGTTTTCGAGCCACAAGCTGCGGTAGCAGCCCGTTCTCACCATATGAAGCTTGCGGCGCCAATTTTTATTAATTGCTGTCCCTAGGCACCGTTTCAACTGTGGCCACTTTTACACAGTTGTATTACAACCCTTAGTTAGGACCGTAAATCTTTCAAAAATGGCAGACTACGATGAGAAAAAATTGATTAAAAGTGGCGATCACTAGCGTCATACAGTAGCATTTAGTGGCGGACACAAGTGGCCCAGTTTGCGAGCTAAAAAAAACATTTTTCAAATTTAACGTTTGTTTGTTTAATGGTTAGTAAGCAACAGAATTGTTAAATAAATGTTTAATACACGAGATAATTGATTTAAAAAATTATTATTGCTCTAGATATGACAAAAATCCTGTTGATATTTCGAAGTTCCATTTTGTCATATGCTGCAACAAATGTAACTTTCATGTATTGTATGTATTCACATTTGTTTTATCTACTACGAACTAACATAAAACATTCAGATCTAGGAATGAAACCGAAGTGAGTAATATGTACTGTAAAGCATAAAACTGACTATTACACTGAAAAAACTGTAGCAAAGGCGGCTACAAAAATTTATGAAGCTTGAAGCATGAAAAGGGTAGTAATTTCGTTTGGAAAACAGTGTGCGTATAACATCAGCACATAACGTCAAACGGCTACGATAACGGGGATTGTAGCAATAACTCAGATTGACTTCAGTATTATAAAAAATAATATGATACGTTTTCACAAAAAATGGTAGTTTTGGTCTAAAACTAGTGGACCTCAAACCAAAAAAAGGAAAAACAATTGGAAATGTAACGCCTTATTTAAAATTTTCTAGATCTTATTGGTCTTTTTTACTTACAAAAATAACAAATAAAATTACGAAATCCTCACCACACTTATATGCCTGACGCTCGCAGCTGGCGGAAATTTTAAAAAGGGCAGTTTTAGATATAACATTTACAACCCTTTTCATTCAGTATTCAGGGGCGTAGATTAAATATTTAAAAGCAGGAATCAATTTTAAAATTAAATTAAAAAATGAACTTATTCGATTGGTTTTCTTGTCGTAGATATTTAAAGTTTATATAAAAAAGAAATAGCTGTAAAATGTCACTGTCTTTTTTATTTTCTTAAGTTGTCTTCTATTCTTTATTTTCCAACCACCCAGGATCCCTCTAAGGAAGCTGAAGAGCGCCTTCCGCCCTACCTTCCCACTTTGCACTACAATGTACGTCAGAGGCACGGCTAGCCCACCAACATTAGTGAGTGGATTAGTTAGTGAGAATGAACATCCACAAGTTTTTTTTTATTAGTTCTCAGTATTAATAACTGACGTGTCTGAATATTTTTATAACCTGCCCATAAAAATACATACTTAGATTTCTACTTCCCCTTCAAAATCCTCTAAATCAACTAAACCAAAATAACACTTAACAAAATACGTACTATAGGGTTGTTCGGAAAGTCATTTCGTTTTTTTTTGTGGAAATGAAAGACAGTTTACGTATAATAAATAAATACTTTATTAAATTATATATTGACCGTTCTGGTCCAACACCTTTTGCCATCTTTCTGGTAGTAGCATAATTCCACGCTCATAAAATTTTTGGTCTTTGCTGGCAAAAAACTGATCGAGGAGGT